TGTTAATTCAAATATATTTTGATTGAACAAAAAAACGCTATCATATTGATATTTGTCTTAATGATTATTTTAAAATATATTTTACTTGTTGTTATACAATGTTTCAAACTCACAACATAACTCCTCCTGAACTTCTTTTTTCTTCCTTTTTCCTTTCCTTTCTTCTTCTACAAATATTTATTGGTTGTATAATAGATGCCAAATACTATGTTCACTATTCAGACAAATAGAAATTATAGAAAAAAATATAGTCAATATAACAAGTGTTATAATAAGATATAAAATATATTCCCAAAGCACTTAAGCATAACATTATCACTGCCTGGCCTTTGTTTCTTTGTTAAAAAAAAAAATCTGTCTGCCACAGGATTTTAACACAACTGGGGCCAGAATTCTATTTTGTCCTTCTTAAGCCATTCATCTCCACCTGACCCCATCAGCACAGTGTTTTACACATACTTGGCATTCAGTAAATGTTTAGTTAAATAGGATACACTTAAACTAGCACATAAGTATCACAATATGGAAGCTTTCTTTAAAATAATGACTTTAAAAATAACTTTAGAATGAATACATGCTTATTGCACAGAATTTGAAAATCCAAACAAGTTTAAAGAATACAATTTAAATATCTATATCCTCACCTCAAAGCAATAACTATCATGTATACTTTAATGCCCTTTTTTCCCCAGTCTTTTTATTTATGTATTTGGCAAATTACTATTTACACATATAAAGTTGCATTCCACTATTTTCACTTATATTGTGAACATTTCCCATATCAATAAATAGTTTTCTGTGTTAAGCAGTTTAATTGCTGCCAAATATGCCTAATATTCTATCAAAAGGTTTTATGATTTGAGCATCACATGATTGGACAGTTTGTTATTTATAATGCTTTGTAATTATAAATAATTGCACAGCCACAATAATATCCAAGGTGCATAAACCTTGTTCACTGTTACTGATTATTTTGTGATGGATTATATTGTAAAATAGATACATATAGAGAAAAAATACTTGGTGATTTATCAATTATATTGTAAATTTTATTTTGTGTTCCAGTTGAAGTTTTTAAAACATTATTTAGAGCAACTACCTATTATCTATCTAAAATATACCTTTAAGATGACTAATTTAAACATTTTCATAGAGTTATAATACTCAGAAGACAAATAGTTTGATTTAACAAAGCTATTTTTCACAATATTTTTTATCACACAGAGGTGGTTGTTAAATGCTTTTTGCAGAGATAAATACATCTAATGGATGAAGTGGAACAGAATAAATGGAACAATACAGAAGACCTCAAGAATTGAATTATGCTGATAATTAACCCTGTTTGTACACATTAACTAAATTTCAAGTCTGTTTTCATAATATCTTAAAGATCCACCTGAAAAATTTCCTATCTGTGAACAAACTCTCAAATTAAACTATTTTGAAATCTGTTCCAATTATCCATCGCTGCCCCCAAACTTAGTGGTTTAAAACATCAATGTATTATTTGTCCTCATCCCATTGGCAGCTGATGGGCACAACCAGGTTCTTATTGGGATTGCTCATGCACAGGAGTCTCCTGGTGGCTGAAGCTCGAGTAAATGACTTCCTTACTCACATGTATGGAGCCTGGGCTGGGATGTCCTGGAATAGCTAGGGGGCCAGTTGGCTCTCCCTCTGTCCATGAGCCTTTCCAATTGGTTAGCTTAGACTTGCTTACAGAATGGCCTTTATTTAATCTGATTTCTAACCAAGACAGCTGGATTTTCCCATGAAGATTCCACGAGATCTGTAGTGAAGCTTGCACAACTGCTTATAACCTCTCCCCAAAAGTCAAGCAGTGTCACCGCTACTATTATCGTTTGGGTCAGAGTCCCAGGCCAGCCCAGATGGAAGGCAGTAAAAGTGCAGAAAGCTTCACTTTTCAATAAGGAAATGACCTGCATGTACAGGCAGGGAAGGGAGAGATGGTGGCCACAAGCTGCCACAGAGACCGAAATGGATTTTTAAAAGCCATTTCTATCCCTCCCACATGATTTAAATGTGCCTTTCTTTTAGCACGAGCCTTTACTTGTTCTTTTCTTCCTTCAACTGAAGCAACTCCTAGGTTAACAGTAAAGGGAGCTCAAGACCAAAGGGCTAAATCTCAACTGTTCTGTCCACTAGCACAGGGACTTGGGCAAATAACTGCTCATTAAATTGGACTCTGACACCCACTGCCTAGCATAAGACCTGGCATATAATAAAGTTATTCACTAAGTGATATTGACCAAACAATCCCTTTTAGATTCTATTACATTCTCTATGAAATAGGGATACTAAAGCCCACTCCAATAACATAGAAATGCATGAACCAATTAATGTTTGCAAAATACTTAAAGCAGTGCCTTGCTGTGGTAGCTGTTAGTATCGTTATTACAGTTAATAGTCTTATCATTATATTATCATCATTATAGTCTCTTCTCCATATCCCTGTCAACGCAATGTAATAACTTGTTAGACTTCTTCAGCACCTGGATCTCATTTATTTTTCTCATCTGATCTGTAGCCATTATTTTAATACTTTGAACATTCCTACGAGTGACATGTCAAGCACACTCTTTCATAAGTCCTTGACCTTTTCAGCCCTACTAATCATATTCTCCACTTCATTCTAAATAAACATGGTTCTCATTTAAAAGTATCCTACAAATTATGCAATCTTTCTTCTCACAACACAAGTTTTGATTCTTATATTCCACTCTCATAATAACCTGGTTTCCTTTACTCCTTTTTTTTATTCTGGCCTATCAGCACCATTCTGTCTTTACATGACTCCTTAAAGCATTGGCATTTTTTATAATAAGTCATACCAAATTTACAAACTCAAATTTATACTTGAATGGGCCCAATTAACTATTTTCTCTGTCCCTACTTCTGGCTGTCCAGCCTAACTTTGCTTATTCAGTCAGTTCTATTTCAAAATGGTGCTATTGAACCAAATACTTTGAACTCCAATACTTTTCCAAAATATTTAAGTCATGTCTTTCCTCTCTTATCATGTACTTATTTCAGACATTTCGCATTCTCCTCTAGCTCCTAGTCTCATTATCAGCCAATTACCTTTACTTATTCTTTAATGAAAATTTTAAGAGAACCTTCCCAAATGAGCTCTCTCAGCTGCCCAAAAACTTTCTCTCTATATTTTTGTTTCTTTCTTCATTTCTCCTAGACGAAAAAACTGTTACTTCTCAAGATTATTTTCAGTACTTTTGCTCACAATCTTAATATTTTGTTACTTTTCTGATAGAATAGTCCCTGTCTTCTAACTCTTTGGTCTCTTCTATCTGCTGCTGGTTCTTCTTAATCTTGATAAAAAATGTTAATTTTGCCAAAACCAGTTTTGCTCAGTGGATAGAGCATCGCCTGCGGACTGAAAGGTCCCAGGTTCGATTCTGGTCAAGGGCATGTACCTTGGTTGCAGGCACACCCCCAGTTGGGGGGGTGAGGGGCGAGGGGTGCAAGAGGCAGCTGATCGGTGATTCTCTCTCATTGATGTTTCTAACTCTCTATCCCTCTCTCTTCCTCTCTGTAAAAAATCAATTATATATATATATATATATATATATATATATAATTTTTTTAATGTTAATTTTGCCCTAGCCAGTTTAGCTCAGTGCAGAGTGCATCAGTGTGTGGACCAAAGGGTCCCTGGTTTGATTCCAGTCGAAGTCATGAGTACCTTGTGCAGGCTTCTCCCTGGCCTGTGTCCTCATCAGGGCACATGCAGGAGGCAACCAATCAGTTTCTCTCAATTGATATTCCTCTCTTCCACTCTCTTTTAAAAAATCAATGGAAAAATATCCTCAGGTAAGGATTTAAAAATGTTAATTTCTCATTTCCTAAAAATGTCATTTGCCCAATGAGGCTTTTAAATTTAAATTATCTACCAAGAGGTCTTTTCTAACCACCCCCATCTCTTCAGCATCCCATTTCTTAGCTTCTTACAGTCCAATTCAGCCCTTACTGCTCAGGCTTCATAATCACCAAATCCAAACATCAACTTCCTACATAAGGACTAACTCAGAAAATAAAGTACTTAAGTGTGAGGTTTTTCTTAATTGAAAATAAAAGTGTCCTTGCAACTTGAATGGACCATGTTAGGAAATAGAAAAAATGTCAATAAGAAAACCAATTACTTTTTAATCAATAAAATGCAAGTACATATTTTTAAATGCTACTTTAGAAATCAGTATTTCAGAAGTTATAATACAAAGATATATATTTTCCTCATATCAGATCATGGTTGTTTCTTCAAGCTAAAGTCTACATGCATGTACATAGATTAATCATCATATTCTATATCAGTTTTACATAATCAAAAGTGAAATAACCTTCTCTGATTCAGACAATTAATAATAATAAATAATAAGATAATATAACCACACCATCCTTTTAACTTCCCACAATTTTTTTATACCTCATTTCTAGTATTTGCTCTTCCTTGCTCTGAACTTTCAGATCTCCCCTGTAAAAGCTTAGGCTACTTGAAAGTCACATTAAAATATTTGTACATTTTAGGTTTCCTGAGCAAGAAATGTAGGCCTGTACACCTATACCTCGTTAGTAATAACAGGATAGTTTTTGTGCCTAATGGCATTGCCTATCACTTCCTATTGCTGCCTCTATAAGCTGTGATTGATTTCAACAGCCAGAGTTGAAATATCGACATTCTTGGGCTTGTTTCTAGTTTTTTTCTTTTCCTATAAAATATAATGGTAATTAGTAGTTGCCTCCAAGCACACAGTGCTAGAAAAAAATCTAATCTATAATTATTTTACCCCCAGAAATCATAAAAAGCAGCTTGCATCCCATCACTTTTTACTTCCAATGTTTATTGCTAAATACGTATTCTACTAAAGACAGTTGCATAGTTTTATTAAGCCTTCATGGAAATACAATTTCTCATGGCTCTTTATCACATCCTGTACTCAACTTTACCCATTCTCTTCTGTCTGCAGGTCCCCCAGGCCCACCAGGGATCGTGATCGTGGAAGAGATCACCGAAAACACAGCCACACTCTCCTGGAGCCCAGCAGCTGACAACCACAGCCCCATCTCCTCCTACAACCTGCAGGCTCGCAGCCCGTTCTCCCTGGGCTGGCAAACAGTGAAAACAGGTAAGAGGTTCGAAGGCAATATCAGATGTAATCAGAGCAGCTTCCCATCATGAGCTATTTTGCCATATATATATATATATATATATATATATATATATATATATATTTTGAGAATTTCAGAGGAATCTTTTTGGATTCTTGAAACATTATCATTTATTACAACACTAGAATACTAGAAGCCCAAGGCCCAATACTAGAGGCCCAATGTGCAAGGGTAGGCCCTCGCAGCCCCAGACAGTCATTCTGTTGTTCTACCTTTCGGTCAATTTGCATATTACTCTTTTATTATTATAGGTTAACCATTATTTGCTTCTTTTAATAAAGCTGCCTTGCTTTTTTCTCTCCTCAATCCCAGGGAGGAACCACATCATGTATATTTTGTTTTTTTACAAAAACAAAATGTAATAACTTTACACTCACATAAAAATTTAATACAAAATGTAATAACTTTACACTCACGTAAAAATTTGCAAAAATAACACAGATTTCCTGTGGACTCAGCCCTCGGAGTCCTCCCAGGATAAGATAACCATAGCACTATTATCAAATGGGAAAGATGGCATTGCTGCAAAGCTATTAACTAAACTACAGACTACCTTCCTATTTCACCAGTTTTTGTATGCTACTTTTAGTATAAGTTCTATAAAATTCCTTAAAATTTTATTGTAAAGATTCAAGTTACCACCACTGATCATTTCTCCAGTTTCTTGTGCTATCTCTTTATAATCACACAGAAAAAGAAAATCTGACATCAAGTTACATTATTTAAAAGAATTCAGAATTGTAAATTCTGCTTCTAAGATATTTGCATTATATCTTAATTATTTCAAAAAACATTTCTTCCCAGATGGTTTCCATTCCATGTTACAACTAAACTTCTACTATCTCTTCAAATGTGTCTATAAAAATATGTAGCATCATACTCTCCAGATAGTTATTAGGAACTTATTTAACAAGTTGGTATTTGAAAAGTATACAGTGTTGATACAATCTAATCTTCAGTTGCAGTTGTCCCTACTAAGTAGGGATTTGTGATTTTATTTTACTGCCCAAATATAAAATTAATTTGCCTGTTTAGAAGTAAAATATAAAATTAATAAAGCATTTGAGTGCAGTCACCATAAAACTCAATTAATTGGAATGTTGTAGGAGTGATGTGGTCTGTTTTGTTGCTTAAATAAATTAAATTTGCGAAAAAACTTATGTTTGTGTAAAAATTTACAATTTGCAGAGGGAGGAAATATATTTACTTGCAAAATATAATTCAACTCTTTCTTGATATTAGGCGTCTATATTAATTTAGAATATTTGTTTGGTCATCATTATTATGTTCAATACATGTACACATATTTATTTTGTAATATACATAATTGTGGTATTGGCCTCATTTCTGGCTCCATTTTAACCCTATGATGCCTCTGCAGATTCAAGAAATTGGGAGAATCTCTAAGTTTGGCAGATGACTCTGAAAAGGACACAAATTCGAGCCACATGAACAGGTTTACACAAGAACACTTATAACCTCTACCCCAGTGCTCCCAAAGTATCCTCAATCTGACAGCCCATGCATTTTGTTCTGCAGCCAGGAAATGGATTCCCCTTCAGAACTGGTGTTATATATGCACTCAACAAATCCATTCCCCTGCCTCCTGCTATGTTCCCTGCCCACTCTTGCCTCTCTGTCCATACATCTTACTACTTGAGGACGTTTCCCTGTGGGTACATTGCAATACACATTTACTTGCTCATCATATGCCCTTGTTCTAGTCCCTCTGACCTTAACTCATGGTATACCAATCCAGAACATCAATTCTTCCTCCTACTACACCTATAGTTTCCTAGACACTCTTATTCCTTGGTTTCTAACATCTTGGTACACCTGTTTCTACTTCTTGTTGTTTGATAGATGATTGAAAAACAGATTGATAATATGTGTATGTGTTAATATACATATTTGTATATTATATATGCATGTATACTTATATAAACTTTGAATATTTTGGCATAAATTATGGACAAATGAGATTGTTTGTTGTGAGGAGCTCAGGCATTTGAACTAAATGTTAGTTTTGGGATTATTTGTTTTAGAAACCCTTACTATAAAGTTACATCTTTATCTTTCAAATATAATCTGAATACTGGAAACACCTTAAGTTGTGAGTTTTTAAAATTCTGATCAGCAAGTACTTTTTAAAAAATCGGTGATTGCTATGTATAAGAAAAGAGACATTTTTGAAATACATTTCTATACATGATCAATTTTATTTGCCCTTGAAGTAAGAGGGCTCTGGCAGGATGTCTCTTAACCTAATGAGGCCACTCATTTTTTCAAAACTCAGCATCTCTTAGAGCTACTGGCAGAGGCGGGACATCCTCCAGGCAAACCTGCCAAGGATCAGTCCTCAGTGCTTGTGTGCCCTAAAGTAGCTGTTTTAAATGTATTCTGCTTTTACCAGCTCCTCGCACATTCTGACACAACTTCTTGCATGCTCCTGACAGGGAAAGAAATCCCTCTAGAGCCACATCAGCAGTAGGCCTTTTGTTTTAAGCTCCCTCATCTAAAACAATTCCAATAGAGATAAGCTGTAAGGCATAAATATCTATTAGGGGGGGAAATGGGTTTGAACTCTCTGATAAAGTTAATGTAATTCATAAGCTAGTATTTTAAAAGCACTTAAGATTCCTTCACACATCAACATGAGTACAAAGAATAGTGAGTTCTTCATTTTTGACAAATGAAGTAATTAGTTGCACCTGGACCTTCTAGCTGAGCACATCTGGAATTAACTTATTAATACTGCCTACCCCCAAATCAGACTCCCATCAGATGACTGGGAATGGGACTAATTTACTCATTTTGAAATGATTATGAAATCAATGATAAAGCTGAAACCGGTTTGGCTCAGTGGTAGAGCATCCGTCTGCGAACTGAAAGGTCCCAGGTTCGATTCCGGTCAGGGGCATGTACATTGGTTGCGGGCATATCCCCGGTAGGGGGTGTGCAAGAGGCAGCTAGTCAATGTTTCTCTCTCATCGACATTTCTAGCTCTCTACATCTCTCCCTTCCTCTCTGTAAAAAATCAATAAAATATATTAAAAAAAAAAACAATGATAAAAAAATAATTTCCCTTGCAAACCCCTATCCTGGTCGAACAAATTGCTTTTGATTTGGATACCTAACTCTCTTCATATTACTGAGCGTTATCAGCTGACCTCGTTTTTAACTATTAATATGTTTAGAAATAACAAATCACTTATAATCAAAGAATTGACTTGTCATTGTTCATTCAAATATGGTATTTACTGTTCTTCTGTCCGTGGATACATCTTCTGTCGCTGGATGTTTTCCACTGATTGATTGGCTGATTGCATTTGTCAACCAGAGAGACTTATTTAATTTTCATACAATTATTTCATTAAAGCCTTGGATGAAATTATTTCACTAGACGGCATTTTGACAAGTTTCTCCCTGAATCAATATGGGTTCCTCCACTGTCTTTAGTTGCTGTGTGTTGTCTCTGAAGCAGAATGTTTTCTTTGAAAGTCTTATCCATGTTGTTCCAGAAAGAACATCTCTATAGCTAGAGGTCTGATCCACAAAATTCGTGCAAGAGTAGGCTTTCCTTCCCCTGGCTGCTGCCTCTGGCTTTCCTCTGGCACCTGGGACTCAGGCTGTCTTCCCTCTCTTCCGGGAAGGACTTTCATTCTAATTAGCATCTTACCCTTTTATTATTATAGATACCTGCCAGGCTTTAAAAATACCTACTTTAGTATACATTCTCCATTTGCTTTAATCTCCACAATAATGCTTTTGGCATAAAAATTCCTAATTTTAATTTAAAAGTTTGTTTCTAATTTAGTTCATATTGCACATTATTTCCTCAAAAATTTTAATAACTTTAACTCATGCTTTTTTGTAGCTCTTACAAGTAGCAAGTAGCTTTGGGAGGAAGGATATTTTTATATTTTAAATTAAAATTCCTTTTAAAAATACAGCCTGAATAATGACATCAAAATTAAAACAGAAACTGTTCCAATTTTTATCACAACTATTTGAACTCTCCTTTTAGTCATTTGAAAAAATTTTATCAAGCAGCTTTCAGCTAGTATTCTAGGCAGTTAGGATATATGAGTGAACAAAACAAAAAATGCCCATCTTTGTGAAGATTGTATTCTCATGAGTGAGGACAAACAATAAAGAGAAAACTAATAAACAATGAAATTATATAGTATTTTTTCGACTTAATGAATGGAAAAAATAAAGACAGAATTATAAAGAGGATCAAAAGTTCTGAGGTTACCGAAACCGGTTTGGCTCAGTGGATAGAGCGTCGGACTGCGGATTGAAAGGTCCCAGGTTCGATTCTGGTCAGGGCACGTACCAACTGGGGATGTGCAAGAGGCAGCTGGTTGATGTTTCTCTCTCATCGACGTTTCTAGCTCTCTATCCCTCTCAATTCCTCTCTGTAAAAAAATCAATAAAATATACTAAAAAGAAAAAAAAAGTTCCTGGTAGCCCTAAAACTCTGACTCACTGATCTTCTCATGTTCCTATATATACTGCTTCTAATGCCTTTGCACTATTTACTTCTTCAACCTGGGATGTTTCCCCTCAGATATTGGCATAGCTAAACATATACTTCCTTCAAAAGTTTATTCAAATGCACCTTCTCAGTGAGGCTTATTCCAGCCACTCTATTATAAATTTCAACCTGGCTGTGGAGAAGAGGGAGCCCTCATGCATTGTTAGTGCAATTGCAAATTAGTTCAGCCATAGTGGAAAAGAGTATGGTATGGGGATACTAAAAAAAATAATAATAATAAAAAAATAAAATAAATAGAATTACCATATCATTCAGTAATTCCACTTCTGGGTATTTATTTTAAGAAACCTTAAAATACTCATTTAAAAAAATATGCACCCCTATGTTTATTGCATCACTATTTACACTAGCCAAGATATGAAAGCAACCTGTGTCTATCAATGGACGAGTGGATAAAGAAGATGTGGTACATATATGTAATTGAATATGTAAATGAACCATAAAAAAAGAATTAACTCTTGCCATTTGTTACTACATGGATGGACCTAGAGGGCATTATGCTAATGAAATAAGTCAGACAGAGAAAGACAAATATCATATGATTTCAAATATATGCAGAATATAAAAATAAAAGAACAAACAAAACAGAAATAAACAGAGAACATTTTCATGGTTGCCAGGTGGAATTGGGGGTTTTGGGGAATAGGTGAAAAAGGGAAGGGATTAAGATGTATAAATTGTCAGTTATAAAAATAATCACAAGGCTGTAAAGTACAGCGTAGGCTATATAGTCAATAATATTATTTTAAAAAAGGTACTACACTTATCAGAGTGATCACTTCATAAGTTATATAAATCTATAACTATTATGTTGTACACCTGAAACTAATATGATATTGTATGTCAACTATAATTGAAAACTTTTTTAAATTATTTAAAAATAAATGAATAAATAAAATTCAACCTGCCTGTTGTGGACTGTATGGAGTCCCCTTCCCTGCAAAAATTCAAATGTTAAAGCCCTAACCTCCCATTATGACTATATTTGGAGATAGGGGCTCTAAGGATATCAAATAGGTAATTGCACAGGATGGGGCACAAGTAAATTAATAGTTATGAGAACATGAAACACAGAGTTTATTCTTGTATTCTTATTTGTTAATTATATTTTCCATATGAACAACTGTAAACTTATTTTTGCCCCAACCTATACATATGAGCCTGGATTTTAAGGGAGAGACATAAAACAAAGATAAAAAATTGGGAAATGATTGGCATATAAATTACATTTAAAATCATGAGGCTGCATGTTATCTCCAAGGATATAAATTTAAGATAGAAAGGAAAAATAGAAGACTAGAGCATTTCAATAGTAAGAAGTTGTGGAGAAGAGCGACTAGCCAAAGAAGACAGAGGAAAGCAATGATTTAGTTCAAAGGAAAACCAAAACCATGTGAAATACTTGAAGACAAAAGAATGAAATAGGGGAATTTAATCAACTATGTCAAATACTGATGACATATCAATATGAGGAGGACTGAAGATTGACCGTGGAGCTCAGTGGTGACTTTGACAATAGCAGTTTTAGTACAATAGTAAAGACTCACGTCTCACAAAAATGGATGCAAGAGATAATGGAAGAGAAGTTAATACAGACAACTCTTTAAAGGAGTTTTCTGCAAAAGGAAGTGGAAAAATCAATATATTTCATGGTCATAATTTGCTTATTGTTAGAGTGAAACAGGGGGGAAAGAAAGGAATTCAGTATAACCCCAATATTTTGGCTACAAAATCTATAAGAATGCAATCAGCATACACTAAATAAGAAATACTCCAGAACTAGGTAGGGCAGTGGTTGGCAAATTCATTAGTACAATTATTGAAATTTCTTTTGAGAGACAAATTTTTTAAAGATTAAACTTCTTCTAATGCCACTTCTTCAAAATAGACTCACCCAGGCTGTGGTATTTTATGGAAGAGACACACTCAAGGGGCCAAAGAGCCGCAGTTTGCCAACCAACGAGGTAGGAGAACTACCTAGTTGAAAGTCTTATCTAAAGTAGATATAGGGCCGAGACCGGTTTGGCTCAATGGATAGAGCATCGGCTTGGAGACTTGGGGGTCCCGGGTTCGATTCCGGTCAAGGGCATGTACCTCGGTTGTGGGCATATCCCCAGTAGGGAGTGTGCAGGAGGCAGCTGATCGATGACTCTCTCTCATCGATGTTTCTAACTCTCTATCTCTCTCCCTTCCTCTCTGTACAAAATCAATAAAAATATATTTTAAAAATAATAATAAAAAAATAAAAAAATAAAGTAGATATAGGAAGGAGGTTCATTGCTGAAAATTTTAGAGGCATTAACATACAGAGGGTGTTTAAAACCCTGAGACTGAATTAGATCATCATGGAGTAAGGGAATGGGAAAGAGCTCCTAGAACTGGGATGAATCTGGAAGAGGAAAAGAAGCCAGCAACTGAGACAGATAAAGATGTCATGTAGAAGAAAAACAAGTTAAATTTTGAAAAATATTTCAAACAGTATTATCAACTGTGTCCAAGAATTATGCTAGGTCAAGGAAAATGAGGAAGCGAGATCTTACCATAAGGTTTTAGTAACAGAAACCATTGGTAATTTGGACAGGATCAGTTAAGATGGAATGCAAGGAATAAGAGACTTATTTGAATGGCCTCAAGAGAGAATAGAAGAAAAAATAATCAGTAACAGCAAGTAATAGCACAAACAACCCTCAAAAAGTTTTGCTACAAAAGAAGCATAGAAAATGAGTGAAGGCTGGAAGGATAAGAAATTTTGAGAGAATTTTGTTTGTTTGGGTTTGGTTTGGTTTGGTGAGAATGACACCTGCATGCTTGTTATGTTGATGAGGGGAAAAACTATTAGAGACATTTGGTTGGTGGTAGGGCAGAGAGAGAGAGATAACTGGGATGAACTGGTTATTCTTCTTTATAATAACTTTAGATGGCCACTTCTTAAGAAGCATTAAGTGTCCTCAGAGGGGATTTGGGGTACTATTAAACAGTTGGAAGAATGTTCAGAGAAAAGAATGAGTATACAGGGAATTTTGCTAATGATGGATTATAAATTCCAATGGTCAAACCAAAAGGATTTTCAAAGAGTACAGAAGGATGAGAACTGGGACAGAAAAGCAAATGAACAGAATTCTATGGAGATTCAAGTAAAAAAGATGAGAGATGACCTAGAGGTCTAGAGTTGCTTGATGAGACTGACATAAACTGAAATACATGAAACAGTGAGGTGAGAGCTGTGGACCCAAGGCAAGTATTGGCAATACAGTGTAGGTTAGGGGTTAGGGATGGCTGAGTGTCTGGGGATCTCTCCTTCCCACCTGTATGTTTGGCAGGTACTGCTCAGCAGTTCAGCAAGCTTTGGACTGAACTGTGACTCTCCCTCTCCCCAGCCCTTAGCTCTTTGACTCCACGAATATTTATTGTTCAGTTGCCAGTGCAGAGGTGACAGACTTTTTTTCAAGGTCTTCATTTCACTGCCTTAAAAAAATCAGCTGTGCAAGGGCTGTGAAATCTGTCAGACAAACCACACTGTCTATACTTCGGCCTTTACCTTTCACAGAGCTGATTATTTGGTAAAATCCTCTTGATACATTTCAAAAGAGATTTTCATGAGAAATCCAAATATATTTAATTCCAACTTGTCATAACAAAAACTGCACTGAGTCATCAAATCAAGAGCTCCCCAGCCCCTCCCATCCACGATTAAACAGAAACTCAGGATGGGATACAAATCTAGGGGATCTTTGCAAATCCTAAGGGCGACCCTCTCTTTTCCCCATTTTCACTCCTATAACAAATGTTCTTCCAGAAATATTTCCTAGACAGTAGAGATGTGTGAATAAGAAAGACAGTCTCGCCTAAACCAGTTTGGCTCAGTGGTAGAGTGTTGGTCTGCGGACTGAAGGGTCCCAGGTTCGATTCCATTCAGGGGCATGTACATTGGTTGTGGGCACATCCCCGGTAGGGGGTGTGCAAGAGGCAGCTGGTCTATGTTTCTCTCTCATCGACGTTTCTAGCTCTCTATCTCTCTCCCTTCCTCTCTGTAAAAAATCAATAAAATATATTTAAAAAAAAAAAAAAAGAAACAGTCTCAAATAGAGCATACATATGATGTAAGACATTTTTTTTTTACTCTGTGGTCACTATATTGACAAACAGTCTTATCTTACCTAATAATAGACAAACATATAAATTGACTGTACCTCCACTATGCCCACAGCCAATCAGGAGTGTGTATGCAAATTAACCCAACAAAGATGGTTGGTTAATTTGCAAATGCAGGCATGGAGCAGCCAGGCAGGGTGGGATGCCTGCTATGAGGGCAAGGAGGGATGAAGGGAGCTACAGGAGTGGTGCTCCAGCTGGGATCGAGGACTTGTCAAGCTCCCAAGTGGCCGAGTGGGGACTTGGTGACTCCCTGGTGGCCAGGAGGAAAGCGAGGGGAAGGAAGGTCTATTCTTGCATGAATATGGTGCAATGGGCTCCTAGTACTTTAACAAAATTGAAATTTAGTACAAAAGTCACTCCAAGGAGAGTTCAAAGATTCTGCTTAGCTCCTGTAACCTGGAGTTTTTAAATTGGAAATGTGCTGCTTGGAACTGCCAAATGGCAAAGCATGTTTGCCAGAACTGGAAGAGGCAGATTACTCGAGAAGTTTTGCTAGAGATTGAAGAGCTGTTTGCTTAGATTATATCACTGGGTGTCTTCTCTGGGGCTGAGGGGTTGACACATGATTTTTTAGTGTAGATAATGGCAAGTTATAGTATGGCAATTCATGTATAAAGATGAGGTGAAAGAATTCTAAATAACTACAAGTGCTTACTTCCTGAAGATTGGTTCTGATTTGACTAATGAGACCAGAGGTGACACCGTGGCCATGTGTGATGAGGAGGAGGCATCAGCCTGCGGATCCTGTCAGTGCCTGCGGTACCCTGGATTGCTAGTTGTGACCATTTTCCAGTCCTTCTAATGACATGAACTTTCCTAACAATGTGGAATCTCTGTCTCTCCACAGTCCCAGAAATCATAACAGGGGATATGGAGTCAGCCATGGCGGTGGACTTGAACCCCTGGGTGGAATATGAATTTAGAGTGGTTGCCACCAATCCAATTGGGACTGGAGATCCAAGCACCCCATCTCGAATGATCCGTACCAATGAAGCAGGTAAGAATGAGAATTCCATTTGGTATGCCTCTAATCACTTTGACAGCAAGCTGAATTAACCATAATTGCTTGTTTTAGTGTAATCTTTCCTGAGTCATTTACTAGACATCATAAAACTGTTTTGGTTAACATAGGAGGTCACAGATTGATTCCAAGTTAAGGCACGGGCCCAGCTTGCAGGCTTGCAGGCTTGATCTCCAGTAAGAGGTGTGCAGGAGTAGTCGATCAATGAGTCTCCCTTATCATTAATGTTTCTATCTCTCTCTCCCTCTCCATTCTTTTCTGAGATCAATAAAAATACATTTAAAAAATATTAATCTTTTATGTCCCTATAAAAATTGAATATAAAAATATCCAGTAAGGCACTAGCTTAGGTAAACACAAATGTCAATAATATTAATGAGAACAATCTGAAACCAATAGATAAAGGAAGGAGGTAGATTGCAGATACATGGAGGGGAAAAAATTTAATGACTTTGAACTCAATGATAACATATGAATCTCAAAAATCATTAGAATATAAGTCATCCAGCTGGTCTGGTTCAGTGGTTGAGTGTTAACCCATGAATCAGCAGCTCACAGTTCAATTCCCAGTTAGGACACATGCCCAGGTTGCAGCTTGATCCTCAGTGGGGGGGCATGCAGGAGGCAGCTGATTCATTATTCTATCTCATCATTGATGTTTCTATCTCCCTCTTCCTCTCCCTTCCTTTCTCTCTAAAATCAATAAAACATTTTTTAAAAGAATATAAGGGCACTGAGAATGATGCTTTTGTTTTTTTTTGTTCACTGTTCTATCTCTAGCACCAGATAGTGTCAGGCACTAGTGCTTATGTGTCTTTATTGAAAGATTAAAAGGAAATTTTTTTATTCTTTTATATGTCCCTAAGTACACCAGTACCTGGGTCAGAGACGCAATAACAAAGAAAACTAAGAATTAACTGTGTTTATTTTGTATTGTAGTTACAGAATTGGACCAAAAATGTGATTTGTGACTATTTACAAATTGAATATACTTTATAATAATTAAAATCTATCAAAAGAGTTAATAGTAGGTCTGGTCCTTTAAAAAAAAAAAAAAAGAGTGTTTCTCTAAAACACACTTGTTTTTGTTGTTTTTTTTAAAGAAAAAATATCCCAAATCTTCAATTTATTATATTAAGTTTGAATAACCATACAAAAGATATTCCAATTCTTCCCATGTAAAATTTAAGCAAGAAAGTGAAAGATAAAATAGCCTAAATGTGTTGGAAAAGATTCATTCACAGAAAATCCAACTTTTGTGCTTTTATGATTTGCCTATTACAAGTTGTTTTATTTGCTACTTTTTCAATAGTGTGAGTTTAACTGAACATTAATTGCCTGGTTGGATTTTCATGCATTCATAAAATCAGTCATGCTTTCATTGTGTACAGGTGCTCATTAATTAAGACTATTACAATTTAGTTGCTCCTCATTTTATGTACTCACTAAGCAGATATTGAAATAACTGCCAATATTAGTACTTATGCACACATATTTTCTGAAAAGCTCTGCCTTATTTTGCATATAGTTAATGTGTTTAAACAAAGGCAAAGATTACTGCCTAATTCAGAGGCTCTCTATAAATATTCATTTTGAAAATAAATAATCTGCTTGGGATGGATCATCCTTTTAGACTTTTTTATAGCATAAATCTCCTTGTGCTATTAAAAAAGCATTTTCGTAAAAAACACTTACTTTTCCAGCTCAAATGTATTCAGGTGATGCATTTTAAAAGATCTCTCCCTTGACTGTTTCTGCATCTCCCTCAATTATACAGCTCCTGTCTCTCCATTTTATTGAGTTCTATATACATGACATACTTTTGTCCATTAAAATCTATGGAAGAGAAAAGACATAGCATAAAAAATGCATGGAATGTTCTCCTTTGAAAGAGAGTTGAAGAAAGCTTGTTCTGCCTACTTTATGTTTCCTGGGTTTTGGTATAACACAGGGGTAGAGCTACTAATGGTGTTGAACCAAGTGTGGAGTTTTATGCCTGTTTTGTCAGGCAGCATGGATTAAAAGAGACACCAATATCCTGAGATGTTCTCTTCAGTCGCTCTCTCTGCCTCTATTCAGTAAATGTCCTGTATTGTTCTATATTTCAAAAGATGATCCTGTTCTAATAGACCAAGTAAACTTTGAAAATCAGCGGAGCTGCTAGGAAGAAAAAAGGTTTCGCATTTGGAATATGGAATTGAAAATTTTGTGTCCTTTTAAAATGCTTTTATTTACTAGAATATTCTAAATATCAAAGCAGCTTTAGTAAAGCATTTTTGCTTTAGAACTGCTCTTTTCTCACACACCAAAAAGTTAAATTTTTTGCAGTTTCCTCTAAGATATGTTTTGAATTTTCTAGCCATCAAAACATTTTTAGAGGTCAACAAATATAAAGTAAAATGATTTAGTTTGATTTTTTATTATTAAGATGTCAAAATGATAATTAAAAATGTGTTTTTTACTTTAGTGTGCATTTATAACAATTTTATTACAAGTTTTTAGATAGAAAGAGATACCCTTGTATTTTATTTTGGAAATGTGTTACATCATCAAAACAGTATATATATTTGGGTTGCATAATGGAAATGCTTTTTCTATTATATAAAAAGATGACAATCAGGAGGGAAACACATTTTAGGATATGAATTTGAAATATATGCTATGGTAGAAATAAAAAAAAATATATATATATATGCAAAAATGGATAGAAGTAACATTGTGACCTGTAATTTAAAAGTAGTGAAAACTTGTTAGTGTCAACGCTCTTGGTATATATCTCAATATTTGCAGTTTCTTTACTTCAAATTATGACTAACTTTATATATCTGAAATTAAGAGTTCAAGTTTTAGAGTTAGGCAGATCTAAATTAATGTTCTTCTCATCCACTTGCTAGCAGTGAACTTGATAAGATACACAAATTGTTTTGAGGCTCAATTTTCTCATTTGTAGAATGGGGATGATAGCACTACTTACCCCTTTGGATCATTGTATTGAATAAGATAATGCATGCAAAGAGCTTAGCATAATGCCTGGTACATAATAAATGCTTACTATTAGCCACTCATTATTATTATCATTGATTTTTATTGCGTTATTACTTTATTATGTGGAAATTTAAACTACAGTAATCATGCATAAACTGCTTTTTTCATATTGAAGAAGCATTTTCAGGTTAAACATACATTGGTCAATATGATTAGAGCCATCCAGTCTCATGGCTTGCAGCCGGCTCCTCCAAAATATTCTCCCATTGAGCAGCCTCTGCTGCAGACTTTGTGCCTTCAGGCCCCGCTCCTCAACCCGCCTGTATGTATGGCTGAGAGTCAGGACCTTTCAGGGTCTGGTGCAGACTCTGACTCTACTAGTATGTAGGCAGGTCTCACTCTATAAGGAAGAATGATAGTGTCCCAACTGTAGACATTTTCTTTGGTTCTGATAGCATAAATAAGATAAGATGGGAACCGGGTAGAGAGGGGCAATAGGAGAACAGGAGGGGGCATCTGTAATACTCTCAGCAATAAATAATTAAAAAAAAAAAAGATGAAAGGAACAGAGAAAACCAAGTGTCAAATGGACACACCATGCTTAAAAAGTTTGTTCCACATTAAAATATTTTGCCAAGTTGCTTAGCACACTGTTATCTCCGCCTGCAAATTCTCTTTTCAAACTGAAATGGAAAATGTCATACACATACTCTGGCCACAAAAGGAAAAAATATTTTTCTCCATTTAAGAGATTATTTCTCAACCATATGAATAGGAATATCAAGTAGACGGACAGATGAAACTCTTTCCTAGCCTTAACACTTCCTGCACATTATCACTGCTATGTAACTGGCTTATTAAACAGACTGAACTCTGTAGAGTTTAAACAAGATAGTTTCCTTTTTCTCGCCTAAGGCTCTCCAGTATGCTCCTTCTGATTTCTGGCTTCTGCCCCAACTATACCCAAGGTGTGTTTGGGTACTTGTGTAGTCTCATTCTCAGGTTATAAATTTTTAAATTTTATTTAAATAAATAAAAACTAACTTCCAATTCCATGTTTTCTTCCTTCTATCCCAGCACAGGCTAGACCCAAAGGTATTTATGTGTCTTCCTTTTCTTCTTTCCACTTCTTTCTGCTTCTAATTGCTGCTCTGCACACTTCTCAAATCAGACAAAAGACTAGGAAAAGCTACTTAGGTGGTAAAATTTGTGGTTCCCTCATGGGTATTGAGTGCTCCATGTCATGGGACTTGTCCACATGATGCTTTTCCCTCTTGGAAGGTGCATTGGGTCCTTTGGAGACTCTCCCATCCCCTACCAGGCAGCCCTATTGTGTGTGAGCCCAACAAGCCTACTCAATCCATGACCATGTTGTCCACTTGGTCCACAGAACGATTCTCCATTCCTGTGCTGCCAAATCCTAGAAACACAGTATTCTCGAGAACTAATTTGCTCGCTGCTCTGGTAACATTGTGTGGGTCTGGGCCATCATTACAAAATTCTGAACCGCATGGCATCAGCCAGAGCGAGGAGTGAGTATCTACACGCTGCAGCGGTTATTTTGCTCCTCTTCTTATTTAGCTTGAGAGGGAAATGGCACTCCCACTTCCCTTCTACTGACAGCTGAGGGTGGAGATGCCACAGCACATCTATCTGCTAGACTGACAACCTTCTTCCAAAACATTCCATGTGCTAAAATCTGGAGCAGGTAATGGGAAACGGTCATGAAATTTTGTTTCCCTATTTCTTAGGAATTCAGTGGTTTCAACCAGCCCACCTCACGTTACATGTGACTCATCCCACGCCTAGAAAAGACTCACTTAACTTCCTACTATAATTTCTTCAGTGTTATACATTATCTCCTTACTTCTGGAAGGACCTCGCTTTGTTCATATTTGTATATTTACCGTTCTTGTCCATGATCATTACTTAGGAAACTTCTTTGAGCTCAAATATTATAGAAGGAACACAGTAAAAAATTATTGTAATAT